TTCAACTGCCTCCACTGCATCCTATTCAAAGTGAAGATCCTGCCTGTGGAGCTTTCTATGACTTTCAATAATAACTTAAATGGCTCTCTTCTCTGGGATCTCGAAGCATTTTGTATATGATTTTATTATACCCATTAGAGTGTATTACAACTGTACTCTTTGTCTTCCATCTCTGTGTCCCTAACACTTAGAAGAGCGCTTCTCATAGAGGAGTGTTTAATGGAAGGACAATGGCAAAAAAAATGAAAGTATCTTTGAATGTGGTTAAAAAACAGGTCGGGGCGCCTGGGTGGCTCAGTTGGTTGAACGTCTGCCTTTGGCTCAGGTTGTGATCCTGGGGTTCTGGGATCAAGCCCCTGCATTGGGCTCCCTGCTTGGCCGGAGGCCTGCTCCTCCCTCTCCCACTCCTCTTGCTTGTGTTCCGTCTCTCGCTGTGTGTCTTTCTGCCAAAAAATAAATAAAATCTTTAAAAAAATAAAAAAATAAAAAATAAATAAAAACCAGGTCATTGGTAATACTAGAAAGTACAGTTTAGGTGGGTAAGAAAACAAAAAAGGGATATATATGAAGGATGTTATAGGTAGAAAGAAAATATTCAACATACTCATTTCAAAAATCTGCAAAAAAGAAATGAATAAAAGACAGAAAAAATATCACAAAGAAAGACTGCTAATTTTTTAAAAAACACAGATAGCTGACCAAGTAAGAAGGCAAAAGAAAGCACTTTGAGAGAAAAAACCAGAAGGCTTAAAGAGTAAGTGTAGAAATTGTATCCTACACTCAGAGGATAGAGAAGACAGAGAGAGAGGCTGGAAAGAGACTGGAAGAATATAGGGCAGTTGTTGAAACAGATGTTTTAAAGTGGGCATGGAACACTTTCCATTTCAGGCATTAAAATTTTCATTCTTTTAGTTTCCCAAACTAGAAATCTTAAAAAAAAAACAAAACCAAAAAACCAACCAAACAAAAAAACTTTGGCACATTCCTTCTACCCAGCTGTTATTAATCTATAACCAACTATCATTTCCTCTTTGTACATATCTTTCAAATCAGTTCTCTCTTCCTGCCACTACTCTCCTACGTAATAAGCCTTCATCAATTCAATGAATTACTGCAAAGCTCCTAAGAAGTTTCTAATAATAATAATAAGTTAATAATAACTTCTATTATTATTCTAAGTAAACAAATAAAGTAAAATGTAAGTATCACATTGTAGAGTCTAGAAGTTGGCAAACTTTTTCTATGAAAAACCATATAGTAAATATTTTAGGCTTTGTGGATCATAGGGTCTCTGTTTTAACGATTCATTTCTGCCGTTGTAGTATGAAAACAGCCATAAATATGTACGATCAGAATGGGAATGGCTTTTCCAATTAAACTTTATTTATAAAAAGAGGAAGGGGCTAGAGTTGGCCAGTGAGCCAGAGTTTGCCAGCCCTTGTTTTGTAGGAGCAGTAGTAGTGTGGAGGAGGGAGTGAATCTGGTCAGGACAGGGTCAGAGAAAGCTTCATGGAGAATGTTTGAGAAGCCTGGGTGTGTTTTCTTTAAATTTGATAATGGAGACACTACAAGTTGACATCAGGTTCTTACTGAGATAAGCATTGTTCCAAGCAATTACACATATTATCTCATTTACTCTTTACAACATTCCTTTTTAAAAAAGATTTTATCTATTTATTTGAGACAGAGAGTATATAAGAGTGACCAGGAGCAGGGGAAGGACAGAGGAAGGGAAGCAGACTTCCCGCTGAGCAGGAAGCCTAACATGGAGCTCAAACCCAGGACCTGGAGATCATGACTTGAACCAAAAGCAGATGCTTAACCGACTGAGCTGCCCAGGTACCCCTTTACAACATTCCTAAAGAGGCAGGTATTCCTATTTCCCCTTTAAAGATGAGGAAACTGAGGATTTCCATTCCAGGCCCCATGTTTTGTGTGTTTTTGTTTTTGTTTTTTTAAGATTTTATTTATTTATTTGACAGACAGAGATCACAAGTAGGCAGAGAGGCAGGCAGAGAGAGAGGAGGAAGCAGGCTTCCTGCTGAGCAGAGAGCCCAATGTGGGGCTCGATCCCAGGACTCTGGGATCATGACCTGAGCTGAAGGGAGAGGCTTTAACCCACTGAGCCACCCAGGCGCCCCAAGGCCCCATGTTTTTTACTGCAACACTAATACTGACTATATTCTCTTTCTTGAGTTTGTTAAGAACACAGATCATGCCTAAATCATCTTATTCCCAGAGCCTAGCATAGTGCTTGACATAGTGTGCTTTCCATAATTATTTGCTAAATTAATCCAACTAACATATTCACTTTCACCCTGGCCTTCTCTTTGCCTTAATACCTTTCGATGCCGCCATATTTGCTGACTGCATTGGGTCTAAACCTCTAAACTCTAACTGGCTTTAAGTCTGGCCATAATCCAGGGAAACTGTACCTAGCAAAGTTCAAAAAGCTTAATTATGTCCAACTTCTTCTAGAAGTTTTATGGTTTTGGGTCTCACATTTAGGTCTTTAACCCATTTTGAATTTATTTTTGTGTATGGTGCAGGAAAGTGGTCTGGTTTCATTCTTCTGCATGTTACTGTCCAGTTTTCCAAACACCATTTGTTGAAGAGACTGTCTTTTACCCATTGTATATTCTTACCTCCTTTGTCCATATTACGTGTGGGTTTATTTTTGGACTCTCTATTATGTTCCACTGATTTATGTGTCTATTTTTGTGCTAATACCATCCTGTTTTGATTAGTACATGTTTGTAGTATATCTTGAAATCTGGGATTATGATACCTCCAACTTTGTTCTTCTTTCTCAAGATTGCTTTGGCTATTCAAGGTCTTTTGTAGTTCCATACAAATTTTAGGATTATTTGTTCTAGTTCTGTGAAAACTATTGTTGGTATTTTGACAGAGATTACATTATCTGTAGATTGTTTTGGGCGGTACAGATATTTTAAACAATATCGGTTCTTCTAATCCTTAAGCATGGACTATCTTTCCATTTGTTTTGTCATCTTCAATTTATTTCAACAGTGATTTATAGTTTTTGGAGTATAGGTCTTTTGCCTTTTTGGTTAAGTTTATTCTTAGGAATTTATTATTATTATTACTATTTTTTAAAGACTTTAATCAATTAACAGAGAGAGAAAGAGATGGAGAGAGAGAGAGAAGGGACACAAGCAAGGGAAGTGGGAGAGGGAGAAGCAGGCTTCCTGCCAAGCAAGCAACCCGACGTGAGGCTTGATCCCAGGACCCTGGGACCATGACCTGAGCCCAAGGCAGATGCTTAATGCCTGAGCCACCAGGCGCCCCAGGTATTTTAGTATTTTTAGTGCAGTTGTAAATGAGATTGTTTCCTGAATTTCTTTTTCTGCTGCTTCATTACTAGTGTACAGAAATGCAACAGATTTCTGTATATTAATTTTGTATCCTGTGACATTACTGAATTCATTTATCAGCACTAATAGTTTTCTGGTGGAGTCATTAGAGTTTTCTATATATAGTATCATGCCATCTGCAAATAGTGAAAGTTTTACTTCTTCAGTACCAATTTGGATGCCTTTGAACATAGGCAGTAATCTCTCTGACATTGGCCATAGAAACATTTTTCTCCTCAGGCAATGGAAACAAAAATTAAACTACTGGGATTACACCAAAATAAAAGGGGTTTGCACAGTGAAGGAAACTGTCAATAAACAACAAGGGAACCTCTTGAATGGGAGAAGATAATTGCAAATGATATATCCAATAAGGGGTTAATATCCAAAAATATATAAAGAACTTATACAACTCAACCTTAGAAAAACAAAGAATCCCATTAAAAGATGAGCAGAGCACCTGATCAGACATTTTTCCAAAGGAGATATACAGATGGCCAACAGACACATGGAAAGATGCTAGACATCACTAATCATCAGGGAAATACAAATCAAAACCACAATGAGACAGCACCATATACCTGTCAGAGTGGGTAAAATAAAATAGACAAGAAATAACAAATGTTGGTGAAGATATGGAGAAAAGGGAATCCTAGTGCATTATTGGTAGGAATGCAAACAGGTACAGCCTCTGTGGAAAACAGTATGGAGGGTCTTCAAAAAATTAAAAACAGGGTGCCTGGGTGGCTCAGTGGGTTAAAGCCTCTGCCTTCGGCTCAGGTCATGATCCCAGCGTCCTGGGATCGAGGCCCGCATCAGGCTCTCTGCTCAGCGGGGAGCCTGCATCCTCCTCTCTCTCTGCATGCCTCTCTGCCTACTTGTGATCTCTCTCTCTGTCAAATAAATAAATAAAATCTTTAAAAACAAACAAATAAACAAACAAAAAAAAAAACAAAAAAAAATTAAAAACAGAATTACCACATGGTCTGGTAATTCTGCTACTGGGTATTTACCCAAAGAAAACAAAAACACTAATTTGAAAAGATATATACATTCCTATGTTTACAGTGGCATTATCTATGGAAGTGACCAAAGTGTCTATCCATACATGAATGGATAAAGAAGATGGGGTATATATTAAAAAATGAGAAATTACTCAGCCATAAAAAGAATGAGATCTTGCCATTGGCGAAAATATGGATAAACCTAGAAGGCAAAATGCTAAATGAAATAAGTCAGATGAAAAAAGACAAATGCTGTATGATTTCACTCACATGTGGAATTTAAGAAGCAAAATAAATGAACAAAGAAAAAAGAGAGACCAACAAAAAAAAAAAAGACGAACAAACTGGTGGTTGCCAGAGGGGAGGTGGATAGAGGGATGGGTGAAACAAAAAGGAGATTAAGAGTATAATTATGATGAGCACTGAGTAATGTACAGAATTGTTGAATAATGATAATACCTGAAAGTAATGTGACACTGTATGTTAATTATACTTCGATTAAAAACATTGTTTTAGATACAAATAATGTCCAACTTCTATTTCAGAACTGGTTACCCTTCCTTCATAGCTGTGTGACTCTAATTCAAAATGTGAAATAAACTAAGCTACCAACACAACTCACCTGCCATCACGGGATCTGTGGAGACTGCCGTGGTAGCTGCTTACTTTGCTGTGGACGCTCCCTGCCTTGCTTCTCTGATCATCCACCATAGCAAGCTGAGTTGAAGAAGCATGTGTGGATGTTCCTTGAGTGGAAGTTCCTCTTGATTTTCTTATAATAGGAGTATTTGGATCCCTCAAAAGAGACTGAGCAAAATCAGGTTCCTGTAGCACCTGTCGGCTCTCATTCACTATCCTAGAAAACAAAATACTAAATTTAAGATACAGACTAACATCCCCATAGACCAGTAAATGTGACACACTGACATTATTCTTGAAATTAATTGCTCTCTCAATAATGTCTTTAGGAGAGATATAAGGTAACATTGTTGATAGAGGAAAGAATTTAACAAAGATTATGTCAATCTGTACTTTAAGGTGATATGATGGAAAGAAGCCTGCATTAGAATAAGGAGATCTGGATTTTAGTTCAATAAATACATGACCTTAAGCAAGTCATTATCCCCTTTTCTTCATTTTCCTCATCTATAAGATGAAGCTATATGATTTCATCATTTCTAAAAGTCCCTTTCAATTAAAGAAATTTATGATTCTCAAGTACACTAAAATATTACAAAGATATTACAATAGAGAAATTTTTTCTTGCATGGCTTATGGATGTATTGGAGGCCTCACTGTAGCACAGATAAATATATATATATATATATTTTTTTAAATTAATTTATTTATTTTAGAGACAGAGAGAGGGAGCACACACACACATGCAGGGGGAGGCAGAGAGAGAGAGAGAATCTCAAGCAGACTCCCCACTGAGTGTGAGGACCTGAGATGACCTGAGATCATGACCCGAGCTGAAATCAAGAGTTGGATGCCCAAATGACTGAGCTACCCAGGTGCCCCAATAGGTATATTTTTCAACCTGTAAGAACAGTTTTCTTTTAAATTATTTTTATTAACATATAATGTATTATTTGCCCCAAGCACACAGGTCTGTGAATCATCAGGCTTACACATTTCACAGCACTCACTGTAGCATGTACCCTCCCCAATGTCCATAACCCAACCACCCTCTCCCTACACCCCTGCCCCCAGAAACCCTCAGTTTGTTTTGTGAGATTAGTAAGAGTCTCTCATGGTTTGTCTCCCTCCTGATCCCATCTTGTTTCATTTTTTCCTTCCCTACCTCCCAAACCCCCACCCTGCCTCTCAAATTCCTTATGCTGAGTGAAATAAGTCAATCAGAGAAAGACAACTATATGATCTCTCTGATATGAAGAACAGTTGTTTTAAGGCTACAAGTTGGTCTTATGGTGAAACAGTTGTTCAATGCTAGAATAAGCATGAGTGGTCAAAATTAGAACAAAATTAATGAAAAATTAATTTAAGCTAAGATAAAATTAATTACTAGACATCTTAAAGGCTTAAGGAAAAAAACTTAAGAAGAATTATTGTCAAGAACAAAAGTTTTTAACTGCTAGAGAATGGTTAAAAGCAGATGTTTACTATAATGAACAAAGCAGCAATTAAATTGATCAAAGAGCCAGTTAAATAGTCACAAAGATCAGAGTCTCAGTTTATATAAATGACTAGGAGAATCAGAGGTTAAAGTTAAAATAAGATAAATAATTTCGTGAAAAAATAAAGCTCCAGCATATATGGATTGGACCATACAATGAGACAGTGTATATATTCTAACTTTTCAGATTACAAAAGGATCCTCCTTACTACTATTGTTTTTAGTGGTGAGGTAGGAGGGCTAAAGGCAGGCTAATACTTGTTGAGTACCCACATTATGCCAGGTATTTCACATTCACTCTCCTTTGATCCTTCTTAATAATGTTTTTATTATGGAGATCAATGTCCTAAGAGGGTATCTGTTAAGAGGATATTATGTATCTATTGTGAATAGATATCTATCAAGAATAAATACTGTGATCTCCATTTCGTAGATGAAAAAACTGAGGTTTAAAGGATTAAAGAACTTTCCAAAGTCATACACCAAAACCAACAGTCAGGGATCAAACTTAAGTTTAAATGGCTTAGGGGAGCATAGGTGGCTCAGTCAGTTCAGGGTTCAGATCTTGATTTCGACTCAGGTCATGATCTCAGGGCTGTGAATTCCAGCCCCACACTGGGCTCTATGCTGGGTGTGGAGCCTGCCTGAGATTCTCTGTCTTCCATTCCTCTGCCCCTCCCCCACACTCTCGTGTTCACTCTTAACAAATGGCTTAAAAGCCAAAATAATGATAAAATATTTGTAACGATAAAATATTATATATACATATATACATACATGTATATATATAACATATGTGTACATAGACACACACACACACACACACACACACACACACATTTCCTCAAATCAAAGTATCAAAAACTGGACAGAAGAATGAACAAGTCAAAAACAGTTAAAACAAACAAAGAAACAAACAATATCTGTTTCTCTGTCATCAATGGCCCTAATCATATATTCATACATCGCAAATCAGCCTTAGTTGCTGATTTTATTTTCTAAACTTATTTTTAAAACTTGATTCAAACTAACTTCTGGTCATGCCAAAAATTTAATCCATCTTCAAATGGTAAACATTTGTCCCCTCACTTTACAGATAAGAAAACAGAGAAATTAAGTGAGATGATTTATATAATTCCAAAAGAAGATTTCTAAAAATATTTCAATCAGTGTCAGAATTACTAGTATAAGCACAATGTTAAATGTGGCTTCACTCAGGGGCAAAACACTAATTTGATTAGCACAATTTTAGAAACTAGTCTCTTTGTAGCACAGTATATAAGCAAAAACAAGAGTCTAGAATCAGACCGCTTGTGTCTGAATCTCAATTCTAGCAATGACTATGAAACCTTGATTCCTTACCGTAAAATGATGATCTCTCTTACAAGTCTGTTCGAAGGATTAAAAGTTTTAATAATATATAAAATGCTCAGAACTGTGCTTGGAGTATTAAATGTGCTCAATTAATTGGCAACTGCTACTACAATTACTTTATAGTTGTTTTTCAAAGGCTAAAGCAGATAAATGCTAGATATAGCTATGGGATGCTCTCGCTCTTGAGCTCCAGAATAAGGAGCTGCCACTCTAGCCCAGGGCACAGTCCTGGCTTATTTCTTTAATGCATTTCATTATCATTATATAATATATTTAATATCATTTTTCTATTTTGGCTTTAATGTGTACTTTATCGTAATGGAATAACACGTTATCTATATAATTTCTGGTACACTTAGATGAACAATGGACAATTGGAAAGGGAAGTCTAATACCTGTGTGATTTTGGCCAAAGCATTTAATCTCTCTGTGCTCAGTTTTCTCATCTATAACACAGAAATAATACATACCAGCCCCCACAGGAATATCAAGAAGATCAAGTAATAACATAGATATATAAAAGCATTAATTTGTTCTTATTTTAAAGAAAATTATAATTTAAATTTCTGAAAGTAAGATCAGCTTTCCCTCAAATACTCTCAATTAGTAAGGTATAGACCTTAAGCCCGCCTGGTTCTACTTGGCTATCTTCTCAGAATCAAGTTTTAGCTTCTAATTAATACATGCTACTGTGCTAATCACAACTGGTTGTAGCTAAGATTACAATCACATTGAAACATATCCACCAAATCCAAAGTGTTTTAACATAAGCAATACAAAAATTTTATGTGAATGTGAGGTTTGTGAACATTGTGATAATTTCAACTTACTCTTTTTTCCTACGACCATGAAAAAAACTGGCCCATTCAAAGCATGTCTTTTTGCTTCCAACCCAAAAGATGGAGGGAATACCAACAATGAGAGCCATCAGGTATTTCATCAGAAAGAGAATCAGGTCTGGACGACTCATTTGAGTAACCTACAAGAAGGGAAAGAAAAATACCTTAAATATATAAAAAGAAAAAACCTTCTATCAAAGGCCATTATAAATCTTTAAAATAAACAATAGTTAAGTAATTCTATAAACTTGGTATTTTCACTTTTACAGTTCTATAGTTAAATTTCTTGTTATACAAAAAAGATATACACTCCTGATAATTTGACAGTAAGTTTCTATTTTATATTTTGAGTCCTATATTTTTCTTATTAGCTCATAATGGTATCTTCTAAGGCAGAAGATCATTAATGTAGAAAATAAGCCATGAATAGGAATAGAGGCTCAAATAAATAATACCTATATTCTTCTTGGCCAATTCTGTTAGTCCTATCATTGGTCATTACAATATAAAATTAGGAAAGCATTAGTCTTTCCCCCCATTTCATTAATTTCTGTGCTTATCTTTTATAGATCATCCTTCCACCTACTTCATCTTACTCTGCTGGCTGTTTTCAAGCTTCCTCTTTAACCTATGAGTTATTTCTAGGTACATTTCCTAGTTTCTAGTCAGATGAGTTTTTAAAAATTGCTTTTTATTTTTAGTTTCAAGTTTAATTATTGTGGTCAGAGAATTTGTCTATATTATTCTGGTTACCTTAAATTTTGGAGAATTCCTTTTGATTTAGGACACTGTCAATTTATGTAAGTATTCCTTGTGAACTTTAAAATAGCCCATACTCTCTGTTGAGTACAAAATCTTCTATATGTATTAGATCTACTTTATTAGCTTTGTCATTCAAATTTTTTATATTCTCAATTTTGTTTACCTGTATTAACTTTTTAAAATATTTTATTTACTTGTTAAGAAGTCTAATTGATAATCTTTTGGAGATTTACTTCCTCTCTCTGGTAGCTTTAAAATTTTTCTTTATCCTTTTCCCTTTATAGTTGCATTGAATGTTTCTCATGGTGATTGATTTTTATTTTTCCTGCTTAGTGTGCAGAGTGTACTTTTAATCTAAGGACCTATGTTTTCAGTTCTGGAAAATTCTCAGACATTAGGTTTTTGGTTATTGCTTTTTAGTCATTCTTATGGCTTCTTATTCTACAACTCCCATTAGATGTGTACTGTAGTTCCTCAATCCTTATTTTTTATGTCTTTTAACTACATAGTAGTTTTTAGTATTGTATGGCTCTCTATATTCTGTATTCTGGGTGAACTCTTTAAAACAATTTTTTTACTTCACTAATTCCCTCTTCAACCATGTCTATGTTAGGGTTCATGTTATCTACTGATTTTATTTCCATAACTTCAATTCTAAGATGTCTAATTAGTTCTTATATTTGCCTATTTTTATTTCATTTCTACTAATTTACAATCTTTTATTCTTTTAAAGTGGTTTTTATTGTTTATCTTTTAGGGAATCCTAAACATACTTTTTAAAAAATAAATCTTTATAAACTTGGTTTACTACTTTCATTTCATCTGGGAGCAAATCTATCTTTCGATTGTTGATTTTGTTGGATGCTTTCTAGGTTTGGCTTTTTCCTTTTTTGAATCGTGTTTTGGAATTTTAATTTGCATGTCTTGAGTTAGAACTTTCCCTTTCTCTTCCCCTCTCTCTCCCTTTTTCCGTCCCTCCATTTATCTCACCCTGTCTCATGACTTTTTGTCCTCACCAGTGCCCAAAGGGATCTTGTCAAAAACCAGGTTTTATACTGGTGATTGTGAACTACAGATGTTACTGATTACTGGAGATTCGGGTACTAAGTCCTGGCAGTTTGGCTTAAATATTGGTCTTAAGGCTGTGTTGGTGTCTTCCCACATTTTTAGATAAGTATTTTTATATTAACTATGGCCTCAGGGAACAGTTGGTATTACCTTTTACATGGACTTCCTTTCAAGAGCAGGGGAGCCTCATTTCCAATTCCTGCTTTTAACCAGTGAGCCTAGTTCTGGTCCTCTGACTTCCATGTGACATTTACACTTCCAATACACCCCAGAAACTGGATACCCACTCACCTCTAGCTACTTCATACCTGGAGTTCAGCAGGCCCCATGTTTTTCATCACTAGTTATCAATGTGCATATCTGTTATATAAATAAGTTTATTTTGTCTTTTAGACTGATCACATTCAAACATTTTTATTATGTTTTATCTATAACTGATTTTATGTTTATGTTTCATCTATAACGACACATGATTACAGTTAGCCTGGTAAGCTCAAAACATGGAACTTAAATTACAATCATAACCTAGAATTAAGGTGTAATTCCTTTAGAATTTAAAAATCAAAAAATCAAAAAGCAAGTATTTATAGATCATCCACTACTCTAAATAATTCTGTTTAAAGCCCCATGAGGCTTATAAAACAGATGTAAGGTATGATTAATGTTCCCAAGATGATAATCTAAATGAAAATACAAATTAAAGAAACCATTGAATAGTTAAGAACTATAATTAAAAGAAGCAGATGAAGAGACACAAAAGCAGATCACAAATAACCTTCTCATTAAAAAATACAATGGCTTCCTGTTGTTCCATTTCTTTTTTTTTAAGATTTTATCTTTAGGTAATCTCTATACCCAACATGGGGCTCAAACTCACAACCCCAAAATCAAGAGTCACATGCTCTACCAACTGAGCCAGCCAGTTTCATTTTTTAAAAATATTCCTATATAGCATCACTTATTGATGATTATCTAATACTTTACAAAACCTTTACCTCCCTTGACTTCTACAATACTGCATAGTCATGATTATTCTCCTAATGAGACATTACTTTCTTACTTTCATTACTTTCTTCTTGACTTCCTACTCCTGCTCTTTTACCATTTGCTCCCCCACTACCCTCTATACAAGAGTTCTTTTTTTTTTTTTAAAGATTTTATTTACTTGAGAGAAAGAGCAAGAGAGAGAAAGAGAGAGAGAGAACAAGCAAGTTGAGGGGCAGAGGAAGAAGCAGACAGCCCCACTGAGCAGGAAGCCTGATGCTGGGCTCAATCCGGGACTCCAGGATCATGACCTAAGCGGAAGACAGTGCTTGACTGACTGAGCCACCCAGGTGCCCCTATACAAGAGTTCTTTTTTGTGTGTGTGTGTTAAAGATTTTATTTGGGGCGCCTGGGTGGCTCAGTGGGTTAAAGCCTCTGCCTTCGGCTCAGGTCATGATCCCAGGATCCTGGGATCAAGCCCCCCATTGGGCTCTCTGCTCAGCAGGGAGCCTGCTCCCCTGCCCCCCCACCTACCTCTCTGACTACTTGTGATCTCTGTCTGTCAAAAAAAGATTTTATTTATTATTTGACAGAGAGAGACATAGGGAGAGAAGGAACACAAGCAGGGGGAGTGGGAGAGGGAGAAGCAGGCTTCCTGTTGAGCAGAGAGCCTGATGTGGGGCTTGATCCCAGGACTCTGGGATCATGACCTGAGCCCGAAGGCAGTCACTTAACAACTGAGCCACGCAGGTGCCCCTATATAAGAGTTCTTAAAGTCAGTGTGGAGCTACTTCATATAGCTACCCTATGACCGTGAAATTGCACTACTGGGTATTTACCCCAAAGATACAGATATAGTGAAAAGAAGGGCCATATGCACCCCAATGTTCAGAGCAGCAATGTCCACAATCGCCAAACTGTAGGAGAGCCCAGATGCCCTTCAACAGAAGAATGGATAAAGAAGATATGGTCCATATATACAATGGAATATTATGCCTCCATCAGAAATGATGAATACCCAACTTTTATAACAACATGGATAAGACTGGAGGAGATTATGCTGAGTGAAATAAGTCAAGCATAGAGAGTCAATAATCATACAGATTATTCCATATGGATTATTCCTCATGTGGAGCATGAGGAATAACATGGAAGACATTAGGAGAAGGAAAGGAAAAGTGAATTGGGGGAAATCAGAGGTGGAGACGAACCATGAGAGATATGGACTCTGAGAAACAAACTGAGGGTTTTAGAGAGGAGAGGAGTTGGGGGGATGGGTGAGCCTGGTGGTGGATATTAAGAAGGGCATGTAGTGCACGGAGCATTGGGTGTGGTGCATAAACAATGAATCTTGGAACACTGAAAAAAATAAAATAAAATAAAAGAGTTCTTAAAGTCATTCCTCAATTCTCTCTTTATACTCTCAACTAAACATTTAAACTTAGAAGTCATCTAGTCATATTCTTTACCTAGCAAATTAATTTGCTTTCAATCTAGTTGTTCTGTGAATATAAATTAGTATGGTGGTATTGATAAAATACAAGTTTGCCTCTTCCACATTCAAATAGCCAGAATAGCTCTAGCTATTCTGCCCACTTGTCCTAGTTTTGTCCTCTGGTGCTGTCAAGAGTAAGGCTACCATTCCAAAAGTCCTAGTCAAGTCAATAAGATACCCTGCCAGAAGGAAAACTTTAAAAGATGGTGTAAGTATTGGGAACAAAGAGACAAAAAGACTAACCAGAAAATCCAAGAGAATCAATGGAAAAACAGAAACAATCAAAGAGCAAGTTGGGGAAGATTAATATAAAAAAGTCAAACGTTTTCTTATATACTGTCAATAACCAGAGAAGAAACATAATGAAAACAATTTCATTTATAATACCAACAAAACCAAAAAATATCTAGGAATAAACCTAGCAACTAGCAAGAAATACAAAGAAAATGATAAAACACTATCAAAGGACACAGAAAAAAATTGAAATACATAAACAAGTCCATGTTTCTACATGCAAAGACTCAATGTTTTAAAGATATCAAATCAGTTACTCCCCAAATTAATCCTGTAAACTTGGTACAATACAAAAAGAGCAAAAGGATTTTTCACAGAATGTTAAAAGTTAAGTATATGATAAAAGTATTTCAAATAAATGGGGAAAAGATCATAGATTGTTTAATAAGTGATGTTGGGAGGGTTGGCAACCCACTTGGAAACAAAGTAATTTAGATGCCACCCCACACAATGAAAGAAAAAAAAATTCTAGACAGATAACAATAAATCATAAAAGTATGAAAAGAATGAAGAATATTTTTATAGTGGAAATGCATA